TTTCATGTAAACGGTGCCCCAAAGTCCCTATATATATTTCGATTTGCACGAAATTTGGCATATTCGTTGAATTGAATTGAGCCTAGAATGATGTCTGCAAAGTTTCGTGAAAATCTGTCCAGATTTAGATATAGCTCCCATATATAGTTTCGTCCGATTTCATGTAAATGGTGCACAAAAGTCCCTATATATCTTTCGTTTTGCACAAATTTGGCATAACGTACTGAATTTAGCCAAGAATGATGTCTGCCAAGTTTCGAGAAAATTGGTCCAGATTTCTATATAGCTCCCATAGTTTCGTCCGATTTCATGTAAATGGTGCACCAAAGTCGCTATATATCTTTCGATTTGCAGGAAATTTGGCATAACGTACTGAATTGAGCCTAGAGTTATGTCTGCTTTTTTTTCGTGAAAATCGGTCCATATTTAGATATAGCTCCCTTTTATTATAGATTGATTTAAGTAATTGACGCACCAAGGAACCAATAGGCTGATAGGAACAAAATTTTCTGAAATTAGAACAACCTAACCTGTGACAAGTTTGTTTCAAATCGCTTAATATTTGGATAGAGCTTCCATATATATTTCCCCCCGGTTTCAAGTAAATTGGGCATCAAACTCCTCATGTAGTCAGACTGACATCAAATTTTGCACAACGTACAAAATTGAGCATAGAATTGTAATTTTCCAATGAAAAAATTGGTCAATTTTTTCCCATGGGGTCATCGCTCACCAGCAGTTCTTTGTTTGCTGTTCTTACAAAAATACATTTCGGAGATAATGTTTTTATTTTATGTTCGAATAGATCCCAATCCGGTTGCAATTTTTGTTTTGTTTTAATATTTACATAAATTTTATTCTTATCGGCAATAATTGTGAAACAGACACCCAAAGATGTGAAACAATTCTTTTGTTCTGGGCAATTATCGTTTGGACTCCAAAGTGAAATGTTGTTGCTGTTCTTCATATCGGTGCTAGGACTTTCATCATTGGCTGCGGGAGGCGTACCGCAGCCGTTGAGGGTATGTCAAATATTTTTAAAGGACGAAAATAACAAAAATTACAAATTCTGTCTACTAGGTCGAACAACCTGAGGAGGGGACAAGTTTAAATCCTCAACTAGAAATTGTGGATTTACGTAGCCAACTTTCGCAACGCCATCTGGAATTAACGAATTCAATACTTAAAAGAAGGCATACGATATTTGAACAAAAATTGGAAAAACTTTTGAAGGAATTCGGAATGTCCGTGTCCGAGACAACAGATATCGCCGATATGCATGACAATGAGGCCATCCCACCTCTGTCAAATAATCAGACATCGACGGCTGAGGAAGTACCTTTCACGGATATATTGGATGATGGTGAGTTGTGTGAATGTGGACCAAACCGAGCTCTGCCAGATACACAGAAGCCTGCTGCTGAGAAAATATATTTTACGGATATAATGGATGCCGGTAAGTTGGTCTCCAGAGTGCAAATAATTTTAAAAATTCGTTTGCGTTCTTCAATATTTTCGGTCAAGTTTTGGTGTGTGTGATTAAATCTGTGATGAAAAATTTTCTGTATAGATCCACTGTTTCCTATATCACTTAATATTATCAATATATCCTAAATTTATCTTTTCAGATGAGCCGAAGGTATGCAAATTGAATAATAATTCGGATACCAACCTAGTATGGTAAGTACTTCTAAGGTTACACCTAAGTACACATTTTATACACAATTCATTTTATCTCTCTCACTCTACATTCATTGGCGTTCAGTACAAAATTATCGCTTGCTGAAAGCTGTGCCGATTCAAATAGCCTCAATTGTCGTGATGGGCTGTGTCGCATAAAAAACCACATCTATGGTTCCAAGTCATTCTGGGTTCCCTGTGATGGCGATTGGACAATTGTCCAGCGGCGCATCAATGGGTCCGTCCAATTCCAGAGGAAGTGGTTGGACTACAAGACCGGCTTTGGCGATTTGAATGGAGAATTTTGGCTCGGCTTAGATAAAATCCATTCTCTAACGACTCTTTACGGAGGCGTCGAACTTCAAATTGAAATGCAGGATTTTGACAATGTCTCGAGATATGCCCATTATGGGTCGATTTCTGTTGGCAACCAAACCACAAAATATCAAATAACGGTGTTGGATTATATTCAATCAACTGCAGGAGACTCACTCTCTATTCATAGAGACGAGCATTTTTCAACATTCGACCAAGACAATGATAAGAACAGCAATAAAAATTGTGCCTCTTCACTAATGGGGGCTTGGTGGTACTATAACTGCGACTTGAAAAGTTACGACATAAGCAATTTGAATGGATTCTATTACAAAGATGGTGTCGTTCCAAAAGACAAGCCTGGCAGTGGAATTATTTGGAAAACATTTCGAGGAGAATTTTATTCATTGAAATTTGTTCAAATGAAAATTAGACCAAAGAGGAAATAAATGAATAAAAATTCTTATTTTTCTGGGGGGGAAATTAATTCCTTGTTTGCAAAAAATCCAGTAAGAAAAGTAGTAAAGTCGGACGGGGCCGACTATATGATACCCTTCATCACTTTGGGTATATTCAACAGATGAATCCTAACAGACGTCGCAATATTAAAGGATCAATAAAATGAAATTGGATCCATAAACAAGCCATTCAGCAGCCGATACTAAATTTTTCATTTGGTCAGATATAGCAGCTATATCTAAATCTGAAACGATTTTCAGGAAACTCAACACACATAATTCTAGGCCTAATTCATTACGCTGTGCCAAATTTCGTGCACGTCGAAATTTATATAGAGACTTTGGTGGACCATTTACATTAAATCGGACGAAAATTTTTTCGCGAAACTTAACACACATCATTCTAGGCCTAATTCATTACGCTGTGCCAAATTTCGTGCTAATCGGACGAAAATATATATGGGAGCTATATCTAAATCTGAACCGATTTTCACGAAATTTTACACACATCGTTCTAGTCTTAATTCAGTACGCTATGCCAAATTTTGTGCAAATCGAAGGATATATAGGGACTTTGGTGCACCATTTACATAAAATCGGACGAAAATATATATGGGAGCTATATCTAAATCGGAACAGATTTTCAGGAAACTTAGCACACATCATTCTAGGCCTAATTCAGTACGCTATGCCAAATTTCGGGCAAATCGAATGACATTAAGGGACTTTGGTACACCATTTACATAAAATCGGACGAAAATATATATGTGGGCTATAACTAAATCTGAACCGATTTTCACCAAACTCAGCACACATCATTCTGGACCTTATTCATTACGCTGTGCCAAATTTCGTGCAAACCAAAAGACATTAAGGGACTGTGGTACACCATTTACTTTAAATCGGAACAATATATATATATATATATATATATGGGGGCTATATCTAAATCTGAACCAATTTTCACGAAACTTAACACGCATCATTCTTAACCTAATTCATTACGTTGTGCCAAATTTCGTGCAAATCGAAAGATATTTAGGGACTTTGGTGCACCATTTACATGAAATCGGGTGAAACTATGTATGGGAGCTATATCTAAATCAGGACCGATTTTCACAAAACATGGCAGACACCACTCTGGGCTTAATTCAGTACGTTATGCAAAATTTCGTGCAAATCGAAAGATATATAGGGACTTTGGTGGACCATTTACATTTAATCGCTCGAAACTATATGTAGGAGCTATATCTAAATCTGAACCGATTTTCAGGAAACTTAACACACATCATTCTAGACCTAATTCATTACACTGTGCCAAATTTCGTGCAAATCGAAAGATATATAGGGACTTTGGGGCACCATTTATCTAAAATCGGAGGAAAATATATATGGGAGCTATATCTAAATCTGAACAGATTTTCAGGAAACTTAACACACATCTATTTAGACCTAATTCATTACGCTGTGCCAAATTTCGTGCAAATCGAAAGATATATAGGGACTTTGGTGGACCATTTACCTAAAATCGTTAGAATATATATATATATATATATATATATTCACAAAAATACATGGACGGACGGACAGACGATCATGCGTATATCGTCTCAGAAAGTGATTCTATGCATATTCTCAAAATGAACCATGTGTCTATCTCCTTTCCTTTTGCCTGTACCGCAGTGTGGTGAAGGGTATAAAAAAATAATAAAAATATTTTCTGAGGCATCTTCACAAGGCGTGGATTTTTTTAAATATTTTCTAAGGCATCTTCACAAGGCGTGGATTTTTTAAAAAAATATTTTCTGAGGCATCTTCAGAAGCCGTGGATTTTTTTAAATATTTTCTAAGGCATCTTCACAAGGCGTGGATTTTTCTGAGGCATCTTCAAAAGGAGTGGACTTTTCTTAGGCATCTTCACAAGGCCTGGATTTTTCTGAGGCATCTTCACAAGGCGTGGATTTTTCTGAGGCATCTTCACAAGGCGCGGATTTTTCTGAGGCATCTTCACAAGGCGTAGATTTTTCTGAGGCATCTTCACAAGGCGCGGATTTTTCTGAGGCATCTTCACAAGGCGTAGATTTTTCTGAGGCATCTTCACAAGGCGTAGATTTTTCTGAGGCATCTTCACAAGGCGTAGATTTTTCTGAGGCATCTTCACAAGGCGTAGATTTTTCTGAGGCATCTTCACAAGGCGTGGATTTTTCTGAGGCATCTTCAAAAGGCGTGGATTTTTCTGAGGCATCTTCACAAGGCGTGGATTTTTCTGAGGCATCCTCAAAAGTTACCGATTGTTATGGATTGATCTTAAAAGACAGGGTGTTTCAAAAGCCGGCATTTCCTTAACGTAAGCAAACAACACAACCAATATCGCTGGTAGCCGAACCATGCACTGCCACAGAATCAGATTTCTGCGGCTGAGAAAATAATTTATTCTGCTGATATAAGCGATGAGGGTGACTGAGTTGAGTGCATATGAGTCATTTTGTTGAAAACAGAAAATTATTTTGATCGGGGCAATACACGTTTGAGCTCCTAAGTGAAATTATGTTGCTGCTCTTCATACTGGTGCTAGGATTTTCGTCATTGGCTGCGGGAGACGTAACCCAACCGTTGAGGGTATGCCATATATTTTTGAAGGAAAATAAAAAAAAAATAATTGAATGTGTTTTCTACTAGATGGAAGAACCTCAAGAGGTGACATCTTCGAATCATGAACTTGAAAGAATGCAACAACGCCATCTGCAAATAATTAGTGCAATACGTAAGCATATGATATTCGAACAAAAATTGGAAGAGCTATATAAAGAATTGGGGCTGGCAAGCGAGACAGTCCGTATGGATGGTATATACAACTGTGAGGACAATCAAACTCCGGCAAATAATCAGACTTCTCCGATTGAGAAAATATGTTCTGCTAATAGTACTGATGATGGTGACTTGGAGTCATACCGACCTCTACCTGATAATGGGAAACCAACTGTTGAGAAAATATATTTTACAGATGTGATAGATGATGGTAAGTGGATTTTTTAAAATAATTTTTCTAGAGCTCTACATAAGGTGTGGATATTTTGAATTATTTGTTTCGGAACTTTCAGCCTCCTCTTTCGGTCACTATAAAAATTCAGTCTATTTTTCCTTGAACAATTTTATTAGCAAATGTGTGTATTATTCTTCTATTTTTTTAAGATGAGCCGAAAGTATGTAAATTGAATTATACTGATCCAAACCCCGTATGGTAAGTATTTCGGAGGATACACCCAAAATTTCAGGACCACATCTGTAATTCATTTTTCCCGCTCTGGTTCCCTTTCTCTCTTTATCATACTTTTATTTTCAGCGCAAAACTATCGCTTGCTGATAGCTGCGCTGCCTCAAATGTCCTCCTTTGCCGAGATGGACTGTGTCGCATACGAAATCACATGTTTGGACCCAATTCATTTTTGGTTCCCTGCGATGGCGATTGGACAATTATCCAACGACGTCTCAATGGTTCTGTGAATTTCCAGCGAAATTGGCTGGACTACAAGACCGGCTTTGGCGATTTGCAGGGAGACTTTTGGCTCGGCTTAGATAAAATCTATTCTCTAACCGCTGTTCGTGGTGGTGTCGAACTAAAAATTGAAATGCAGGATTTTGACAATGTCTGGAGTTACGCCCATTATGGTTCATTCTCTGTTGGTAATGAAAACACAAAATACAAATTGATGGTGAATGGTTATACACAATCACCAGCTGGCGACTCGGTCGTTTTTAATACCGCATTACCATTTTCCACAAGCGATCAGGACAATGATGACATAGAAAATAAAAATTGTGCCTCTTTGATGATGGGAGCTTGGTGGTACCTTGACTGTAATACGGGGTATGTTAAAAGGGTGAACAATTAAGAATGATGTATTTTTGTTGTTATTTTTGTCATGTTGTCATTTTTGTCAATAGCCGCAACATAAGCAATTTAAATGGTTTCTATTACAAAGATGGCGTCGTTCCCAGGGACAAGCCCGGAAGTGGCATTATGTGGAAAACATTTCGTGGAGAATTTAATTCATTGAAATTTGTTCAAATGAAAATAAGATCGAAGAAGAAATAAATGTAAGAAAATTCCTGTTTTTTCAAGTGGAAAACATTGCATACTTTTAGGCACCTACATTTCATATCAATACATACGTCAGTCTTTAGAAAAATTATTTAAGAAGTCCACACCTTATGTAGGTCTCAAGAAGTAATATTTAAAAAAATCCACGCCTTTCAAAATATCCAGGCCATAAAGAATGCATTTTGTGGTAAAGGTCAGTTTCTAGATTACAACAGATATAATCTGAAAATAAATTCAAAAAATTACTTCCGAATTATTAAACCTGTAAGGAAAGTAGTAAATTCGGACTGGGTCGACTATATGATACCCTTCACCACTCGAAGAAACATCTCATGTCTTTCTGCAACCTATAATACATATAATAAATTTAATTTCATTCGGGCCGATTTAGAGTCGTCTGGGTACCATGAGACAAATTCATAGAAAACGATTTATAGCATAATTGATACACGCTATTCGGTAGGCCGAACCGTTAAAAATTTAATTTCAATCAGACACCCGTTCGAAATACATATGGAAGCTTTGGCTGCATCTGCACCAATTTCAATTTTAACCGAATAACGTCATTCAAGTCTCAATTTGATACGTTGTGCATAATTTCGTGTTAATCGGACAAACATTAGGAGTTTGGTTCACCATCTATGTAAAATCGGATGAAACTATATATGGAAGCTATATCGAAATCTTAACCGATTTTCAAAAAATTTTACACACATCATTCTAGACTCAATTCAGTACGCTATGCCAAATTTCGTGCAAATCGAAAAAAATATTCGGTATTTGGTGCACCATTTACCTTAGATCGGACGAATATATATGGGAGCTATATCTAAAGCTGAACCGATTTTCACGAAACTTAACACTCTTCATTCTATACTCAATTCAGTATGCAGTGCCAAATTTAGTGTAAATCTAAAGATATTAAGGGCTTATGGTACACCATTTACCTTAAATCGGACGAAAATATATATGGGAGCTATATCGAAATCTGAACCGATTTTCAAGAAACTTAGCACACATTATTCTAGGCTGAATTAAGTACGCTGTGCCAAATTTCATGCAAATCGAAAGATATATGGGGACTTTGGTGCACCATTTACATTAAATCGGACGAAAATATTTATGGGAGCTATATCTAAATCTGAACCAATTTTCATGAAACTTAGCACACATGTTTCTAGATTTAATTAAGTATGCTGTGCTAAATTTCGTGTAAATCGAAAGATATATAGGGACTTTGGTGCACCATTTACATGAAATCGCACGAAACTATATATGGAAGCTATATATAAAACTGAACCGATTTTCACGAAACTTTGCAAACATCATTCTAGACTTAATTCAGGACGCTATGCCAAATTTCGTGCACATCGCTGTGCTAAATTTCGTGCAAATCGAAGGATATATAGCGACTTTGGTGCACCATTTACCTTAAATCGGACGAAAATATATATGGGAGCTATATCTAAATCTGAACCGATTTTCAAAAAATTTTACACATATAATTCTACACTCAATTTAGTACGCTATGCCAAATTTCGTGCAGATCGGAAGGTATATAGGGACTTTGGTACACCATTTACATGAAATCGGACGAAATATATATGGGAGCTATATCTAAATCTGAACGGATTTTCACGAAACTTGGCACACATCATTCTAGACCTAATTCAGTAGGCTGTGCTGAACTTCATGCAAATCGAAAGATATTTAGGAAATTTGGTGCACCATTTACCTTAAATCGGACGAAAATAAATATGGGAGCCATATCGAAATCTGAACCGATTTTCAAGAAACTTAGCACACATAATTCTAGACTCAATTCAGTATGCTGTGCCAAATTTCTTGTAAATCGAAAGATATATAAGGACATTGGTGCACCATTTACAATAAATCGGGCGAACATATATATGGGAGCTATATATAAATCTGAACCGATTTTCACGAAATTTAACACACATCTTTCTGGACTTAATTCAGTTCGCTGTGCCAAATTTCGTGCAAATCGAAGCATATTTAGGGACTTTAGTACACCAGTTACCTTAAATCGGACGAAAATATATAAATGGGAGCTATATCTAAATGTTATCCGATTTTCACGAAATTTAGCACACATCATTCTAGACCTAATTCAATACGCTGTGCGAAATTTCGTGCAAATCGAAAGATAGTTAGGGACTTGGGTGCATCATTTACCTTAAATCGGACGAAAATATATATGGGAGCTATATTGAAATCTGAACCGATTCTTTCCCAACTTCAATAGGGTTCGTCCTTGGACCAAATAAATGAGCTGTGCCAAATTTCATCCAATTCGAATCAAAAATGCGACCTGTACTTTGTTTACAATTTAACATGGACAGACATGCGGACAGTCGGTCCGACGGAGGGACGGGCATGCATAAATCGACTTAGAAAGTAATTCTATGCATATTCTCAAAAGGAACCATGTATATATTGCGTTTCCTTTTGGCTGTTACAAACATATGCACAATGACATAATACCCTGTACCACAGTGTGGTGAAGGGTATAAAAAGATTACAAATTAAGCCCTCACCTCATCTACAACAAATAAAATACATTTTCAACTGAAATCATGGTCTTCAGATAAGAAAAATCTTGAAAAGATAATTTGCAAAAAAAATCAACAGCAACCAAAAATTATTTAAATAAAGCCAATTTTTGCAAAATTATTATTTCGTAAGTGACACCTGGTCCCCAATTATTTATTTTTTGACGGAATGGATTTTCACAACTTGTTGCTGTTCACTTTATCAGTTTCCCTGTTGCGGTGGTGTGCGACACAACCCTTTAACTCTACATCCGCAGATATTGGCTATGATGGTCGCATTGTTGGCGGTGAAGTGACTTCCATCTTGTCATATCCCTTTCAAGTGTCCGTACAACATGATAGCTCACACATTTGTGGTGGTTCCATATTGGCGGTAAATATCATCCTCACAGCCGCCCATTGTATTGAATATCCCGAAGATGTCAAAGGTTATCGCATACGTGCCGGTTCCAATTCCCACTCTCGTGGTGGCCAATTACTGACCGTTCGTCAAATTATCATTCACGAAGCCTACAACCTGAATGAGCTGAACTGTGATGTGGCCTTGATTCGATTAAACGAACGGCTAACCTTTTCATCACGCATCAGGGCCATCGACCTGCCACAGCTTGGTGCTGCAGTACCCAAAAATGTTGATCTCTTTGTAAGCGGTTGGGGTTTGACAAGTGAAACGGGTTTGATTGCACCACTGCTGCAGCATGTTGCCGTCCGCCTCATGGATCAAAGGGTGTGCGAAGAAAATTATCTTTATATTGCCAACATAACACCAGAAATGTTTTGTGCTGGTCTACCCGAGGGTGGCAAAGATAGTTGTCAAGGTGATTCAGGCGGGCCATTAGTGAGCTATGGTAATGACAAAGCGGCCAGTAGCCGGCCAGAGCTGGCCACCATACGGCCCATACAATATGGTATTGTATCGTTCGGTGTGGGTTGTGCCCAACCGGGATATCCAGGTGTTTATGTCAATGTGGCCGCTCTAAGGCCATGGATAGATCGTAAGATAAAGGAGATGACAAAATTGAGTTAGTAAGGGAAAATTCTGAAAATAAAATTGTGAATAAAAACATTTAAAAAAAAAAAATCCAAGCCTATGTTCAGCCTTGAAAAATATTCTTAAAAAAATACATGCCTTGAAAAAATATTCTTTAAAAAAATCCATGCCGTGAAAAGATATTTAAAAAAGATCCATGCTGTGAAAAAATTCTTTTAAAATCAATGCCTTGAAAAAATATTCTTTAAAAAATCCATACCTTGAACAAATATTTCTAAAAAATCCACATATTGTATGGGCCCACGCCTTGTGTGGGTCCTTGAAAAAATATATTTTTTTAAATCCACGGGGTCCTTAAAAATATTTAACAAAAAAAATCCACGCCTTGGGTCCTTAAAAATTATTCTTTAAGAAATCCACGCTCGTAGTGGACCTAGATAATATTCCATTCCATTGTGGACCCAAGCAATGTTTTTTTAATCCATGTGCATTTTGGACACCGAATATATTTTTATACCCTTCACCACACTGTGGTACAGGGTATTATGCCTTTGTGCATATGTTTGTAACAGGCAAAAGAATCACATTCTAAGTCGATTTATGCATGTCTATCCGTCCGTCCGTTCGTCCGTTCGTCAATGTTAAATTGTAAACAAAGAACAGCTCGCATTTATGATCCGAATTGGATGAAATTTGGCATAGATCACTTATTTGGCCCAAGGACGAACCCTATTGAAATTGGGAAATATCGGTTGAGATTTCGATATAGCTCCCATATATATTTTCGTCCGATTAAAGGTAAATGGTGCACCAAAGTCCCTAACTATCTTTTGATTTGCACGAACTTTGGCATAGCGTACTGAATTAAGTCTAGGATTATGCACGTTAAGTTTCGTGAAAATCGGTTCGGATTTAGATATAGCTTCTATATATACTTTCGTCCGATTTAAGGTACGTGGTGCACCAAAGTACCTATATATCCTTTTATTTTCAAGAAATTTGGCATGGGGTATGGAATTAGGTCCAGAATGATGTGTGCCAAGTTTCGAGAAAATCGGTTCAGATTTAGATATAGCTTCCATATATATTTTCGTCCGATTTAAGGTAAGTGGTGCAACAAATTCCCTATATAGATTTCGATTTGCACGAAATTTGACATAGCGTACTGAATTAAGTCTAGAATGATGCAAGTTAAGTTTCGTGAAGTCTAGAAAGATATGTGCCAAGTTTTGTGAAAATCGGTTCAGATTTAGATATTGCTCCCATGTATATTTTTGTCCGATTTAAGGTAAATGGTGCACCAAAGTACCTGTATATCTTTTGATTTACACGAAATTTTGCACAGATTACTAAATTAAGTCTAACGTGATGTATGTGTGTTAAGGTTCGTGAAAACCGGATCTGATGTAGATATAGATCCCATATATATTTTCGTCCGATTTAATGTAAATTGAGCACTAAAGACCCATGGTTTGGCCGATTGGCACACCATTTTTTACATGATACTGATGTTATTATAAACTTACGTGTGTCAAGATTTCTCTTGAAATCGATTCAGATTTACATATATGTAGCTCCTATATATACTTTCGTCCGATTTTAAGTAAATGGTACACTAAAGACCCATAGCTAGGCCGTTTGACACACCGTACGGAAATTTATATAAATTAATCTCTGTCAAATTTCCTTGAAATCGGTTCAGATTGGTTTACTTATAGATGAAGATCACCTATCTTTAAGTAAACCAATCTGAACCGATTTCAAGGAAACTTTGTAGAGATTATTTTTTTTAAATTTCAGTACGGTGTGTCAATCGCCCTAGCTATGGGTCTTTAGTGTACCATTTACATAAAATCGGATATGTAGGTTCGTTTAATTTTATGTCAATGTTCCTTCGAAAAGGCGATGTCTGTTAGGCCACATATGTACAATATACTCAAAGTGGTGAAGGGTATCTTATAGTCGGCCCAGTCCGACTTTTCTACTTTCCCTACTGGTTGAAAGTAATTACGTCCTTTTCAATGCATGAAAAATATATTAAGACCACACCTGCTCTATACCTCAATTACACAACGGTATTCCCTTTCGCTTGGCATTCCGGATCTGGGAATCTTAAAACTGCATCAGGGGGAAAAAGCCAACTACTTGGGAACACAAAGCAATACAACAATACTTAAGTATTATTTACTAGTTACATATATATGTATATATGTGCCAGATGTCGTTGTTATTTCTTTGATTAAGTTCTCTAATGGTTTTTAAATTGCTATGGAGGAGAGAGATTGTTCATGGACATTTGGATTTTGTTTTTAATATTTTTTTCAAGGTGTGGAAAATATTTTTTCGAGGCGTGGAAAATATTTTTTTCAGGACGTGAAAATATTTCAGGGCTTGGGTTTATTTAAACATATTTTTTCAAGTCGTGGAAAATAGTTTCATTAATTTTAAAGCATACCTTAAGGCGCCATTTTTAAATAAAAATATAAATTTCTTATTAATACCTGCGATTAATCTCCTCAAGCCATAATAAATTCAACAATCAACCTATCTTATGGCGAAAATCTTATTAATGATTCCTTGATAATTTACTTCTCGGGACAATAAAAATTCTACTAGCCATCGAATCGAAGGCGAAACTACAAGAGAATGAAATGAAACTTAATACAACAATTACTTACAATGGCATGGCAAGAATTTAATTAACACTTTTTTGGAGTATTAACCTCAAAACCTCAATGTCGACACAGCTATGGATTCCCCATGAAAATAGAGAGGGGGGTCCACTAGCCATTGGGAAGGCCAAAGATGCGATGCAAGAACTATTAGAAACAGCCAGAGAGCAAGAAAACAATTTCATTTGAAACAGCTTCCGGCCAAATGACAGAAAAGTTAATTTTAAATGCCAATTTCAAATTGAAAGACACAAGATTAAAATAATCCAGTAGACAAAAAAGTCTCAAACACACACCCACAAACACACACACACAAAAGGCGAAGAACATCAAATGGCGCTGCGGAGAAGTGGAGTGTATCCTCCAATGGACACCCACAACAAGTGCAGGAAACAACAACAAGGGTAGCAGCGACAAAATACCAGAATATCAGTGATGGAGCAAATGGTTTAGCTGGGCTATTGATACTTGGTTGGACGGTTGGTTGGTTGTTCGGTCGGTCGGTATGTTTACATGAAATGACTAAACTTGTACCATAAATATGTCGAAAACGTAGAGACCAATACAAAACGAAATAAAGTGAAACATACTTGTGTATGTATATAAATATAAAGGATATATACGAAGCTTAAGGACATCCACTCTGAAACAAGACATGACATCATTTATGTTGGGTCAGTCATGGGAGGGGTTCGAAAGGAAGTTTGAGATTTTTTTTTTGGAATAAATCCACGCCTTGAAAAAATGTTTTTAAATAGACCCAGGCCGTGCAAATCGAAGGATATATAGGGACTTTGGTGCACCACTTACATAAAAGCGGACGAAAATCTATATGGGAGCTATATCTAAATCTGAATCGATTTTCAAGAAACTTAGCACACATCAGTCTATACTCAATTCAGTACTCTGTGCCAAATTTCATGCAAATCGAAGGATATATTGGGACTTTGGTTCCCCATTTACCATAAATCGGACGAAAATATATATGGGAGCTATATCTAAATCTGAACCGATTTTCACGAAACTTAGCACACATCATTTTAGACTCAATTCAGTACCCTGTACCAAATTTCGTGCAAATAGAAATATATTTAAGGACTTTGGTGCACCATTTACCTTAAATCGGATGAAAATATAAATGGGAGCTATATCTAAATCTGAACCGATTTTCAGGAAACTTAGCGCACATCATTCTAAGCTTAATGCAGTAGAATGTGTAGAATGTGCCAAAGAGTAGAATGTGCCAAATTTCGTGCAAATCGAAAGATATTTAGGGACTTTGGTGCACCATTTACCTTAAATCGGACGAAAATATATATGGGAGCTACATCTAAATCTGAACCGATTTTCACGAAATTTAGCACACATCTTTCTAGACTTAATACAGTACGCTGTGCCAAATTTCGTGCAAATCGAATGATATTTAGGGAATTTGGTTCACCATTTACCTTAAATCGGACGAAAACTCATATAGGGGAGCTATGTCCAAATCTGAACCGATTTTCACGAAACTTAGCACACATCATTCTAGGCTCAGTTCAGTACGCTGCGCCAAGTTTCGTGCAAATCGAAAGATATTTAGGGACTTTGGTACACCATTAACCTTAAATCGGACGAAAATATATATGGGAGCTATATTTAAATCTGAACCGATTTCCACGAAACTTAGCGCACATCATACTAGGCTTAATGTAGTAGGCTGTGCCAAATTTCGTGCAAATCGAAAGATATTTAGGGTCTTTGGTTCACCATTTACCTTAAATCGGTCGAAAATATAAATGGGAGCTATATCTAAATAGCCCTATCCGTTCAGAGGTGTGCAAAATTAATACGGCTATGCAGGATAACTTTAAGTGGCACAAGGTCAGCAGTTAAAGTAGGAAAGGACCTATCGGAGCCCTTCAATACCGAACGAGGATTCAGACAAGGTGACAGTTTGTCGTGTGATCTTTTTAACATCCTACTGGAAAAGGTCATACGAGAGGCAAAGGTGAACAGAAATGGCACTCTGTACACCAAACAACAAATGTTACTCGCCTACGCCGATGACATCATATAACGGCGAGAAGACCAAGCTGACGCGCAAGACGTCCAGTAGACTCGGACCAACTGTGGAACTTTAGAACTACAGCTTCGAGTTAGTTAAAGACTTTATATACGTTGGCACCGCCATAAATAAAACGAATGACATCAGTTTTGAAATTCGGAGAAGGATTGTGATGGCCAACGGATGCTAGTATGGTCTAAGTAAGCAGTTTAGAAACAAGGCCACCTCCCGCCAGACCAAACTCACACTTTACAAGACGCTGCTACTACCCGTGCTATTATATGGATCAGAAGCATGGGTATTTGCTGAAGCAGATG